ACACACACACACACACACAAGTAGACAAAACTCATAATAGAGTAATTTTTCGATTTAATTAAAAACTTGATAAAGTTGAAAAAGGATCAAAGAACCAATTTGTTCAAACCGTTCCTTTTTAACCATGATGTTGACCCTGTTGAGACAGCTCACCCTTGTTTTTTGGGTGGTTATGACCAGCCCAGTTCTAGTCCCATATTTGACTAAGCTGCACAGCCATCCCATCAGCTGTTCTACATCCCTCCCTCTTGTGGTTTCAGGCTAGTAACAGGCTACCCAATCATTAAGCAGGTTTCCACTGTGCTGGGACAAAAACTACTTTTTTTCATAATGATCTTCTGGGAGATTTTGTGGACTTGAATTGTTATGGTTACATTTTAGAGCTCCCTCTGTCAGCCCTGAGTGAAATTGAACAATTCTACATCAGCAGGACAAAAGTAAACATGGTGACAACGACTTGGAAAAAACAACACACTTAAAAGTTCAAGCATTGCATGATGAAAACGACTGCAGGCTTAAGGACAGCAGCTGTACCACTTAACAAAACAGCTGCCACATTCATTCCGATTCCAATATGTTCCAGCAAACACTACAACCACAAGTTAGCCTTCCATGTGCCTGCAGACACTGAAGTACAGTGAGACACACACACACACACAGATCAGGTGGCCATTTTGATGTTGAAATTAAGCAGCAGACTAGCCAGCCAGTTCGGCAGCGTTACAACGTAACAATTCCAAGTGGCAGATGCAACAACACAATTAGAAAACCCTTCGTAAGGTTACAAAGCAAAGCTAATAAGACCCAGAACGCTGCAGTAACAGCGACGTTTTTAACGAGAGTAGAACAAAAGACAGCAGCATTTTTTTAGTTGACGTTAGCCTTACGTTATGTAAACAAGCTCTGGTGTCAACGTGTAAAGGGGCAGTTTAACTTAACTCCCCTGACAACAACAGGCTGGACAAAGAAACCACATTTTCACAAGGGGTTTTAAAGTCTGCCAGGTGTATTAGTGGGGCAACAAGATGAGAGAAATTCCTGGAAAAGGAGAGCATCGTTAGCGTCTGGTCGGCTGTTGCTGTAATTTACAAATAGAGACAGCAAACTAAACAGCTAACGTTACAAATATACAGAGTTTGAAAACGTTTTTTAAAAAAAAAAAGCTAATGGGACCGATCTGATTAGCCAACACAGCTGTCCCGATAAGCGACTGGAGGTTCGCAGTACAGAAATAGCGAACACTTGGCTTTGCTAGCAAAATGTTGTTTACACAAAAACACCAGTCATTCACAATGAAAGCCTTCTGCTGTGGGTTACCAAGAAAAAACAAGCAGCATCAACACATGGGTTTTGCTCATATCATATTTCCACACACATCAGGACATAACGTTAGCTGACAAGACAGCGACTGTTGTTGATGTTCAGAAAGGATACAGTTTCACCACATCGGTATCCATTCGCCTTTTACCCGGACTTGGAGACGACATTTTTCCTATTTCCACCGCAGAGCACCACTAAGTAAACTGAAAGCTAGCCCACGAAACGCTAGACAGTCGAGCAAACGGTACTATCCGAAAGTTAACATTTGTTTTCAGAAATGTCCACAGCAAAACGTCTTCACGGCTCAACGTCTCTCTGTCCTAATGAGTAGCCGAGCCTACCTAGACCTGCGCTGTTCACTGCCTCTTAGCGTTCTGACTATGGTCCTGACAAGTAAGGATCCCTCCGCGCATCACGTCATATACCTGCGACCAAACGTCACCATAAATGGCCATCTTTGTAGTTTTATATAGAACACTTTTTGTTCTGTATCTTCAATGTCATTTTATAGTGCCGTTTACGTTATTTTGATGTAGAAAGTATATAGAACCATCAAGACATAGAGGAAGCCTTAAAGTTTAGACGTTTTTCAGGGTTTTGCAATTCAGAAGCCTCATTGCTGTGGCACTGGCTCTTGCTCTGGTTTTGCATGTCTTCCATTTTTCTCCACCACACTCAGGTGATGGATACCAGCATATAACTCAAAATGTCTGTCCACAGCAGACAATACATGGAGGAATACCTTCTCCTTATGATACAAACTGTTGTGGAGGAGTTGCTGCACATATTTTTGTGGGACACGGCTTAAATCAGCTAATTTCAATCAAGACATAAGTGAGGTTGACATATACAGTACTACAGGGTACAAATGAGACCCAATGAAGAGAATGTTTTCAAGAGTGCAACAATGGCTAAAAATATACCATTGCTCCAAGGACAGCCTCATAACTACTTCGATAGCAGTCTTTTTATGTGTCTTCACAAATGATCCAGTGACAAGGCTGCTTTTCCATAAAGTAAACATAGTACAGTAATTTGTACATAGAGAGAATTCTTAGGAACATAGTGTTTGTTTTAACTCATCTATTTAAGCAAAATAGGTTAAGATGTTTGCTAATCTGAAATCACATCTATGTGAAACCAGACCCTTTCTGAAGTCATTCACTGTGCAAGCTGCAAAAACAGGTACTAAAATATGTGTGATAGCCATATCTTACTGTACTGTATTTTTTTACCTTTTATTCACAATACAATCATTTTATTAAACTCTAATTAATCTTTTCTTAAATTGAAATGTCGGTGGACCAAAAATCAAAGTGAAACAAACTTTCAGAAGAGCATTTTATTAAACGCTTTTAGGAAACTCCAAGAAGATAAAACCACATGCAAGATAGAAAGGACTGCATTAAGAGACGCACACAAAGGCAAGAAGGAAGTGAAGGAATCCATAACCTAATTAAAAACAGGTTTGAAGTTTATGGCACATAGTTCTACTTGCCTGCAGTAATCAGGACTGAGCCTGGTGGACAATAAAGATGGATTGTATTGTAAAAGAAAATAACATTTCACTACTTGAAAAGGGATTGTTCTATTCAAAAGAGAACTCATATCCACATTACCTTTTTCACGCACAATAGTACACAAAAATGATTCCTCAGTTTCTTATGCTCATCTGAGGTTAAACATTGACCACTCCCTAAATTGACTCCAAATACATTGAAGGTAAACATCGCCTTTCCAGTGTCAAGCCATTTGGCCTGTTCTCACCATAATAAGGGATTTCTTGCCTCTTGTATTCTACAGAAATCCAGACTATCATGATGTTATGACGTCCTGCTGAAGCAGAATTCATGTGAGATTAAAAATAGTAAATGCCTCGTTTGTGGCCAATCTATACGCTGAGATGTGTCCTATTACTTGATGACTTCTTATGCATACACATGATACAAGGCCTATAGAGGCCCCAATATCTGCACATCCCAATTCAAAGGTTTTATAGCCACACAAGCATCCTTCACATATTTCCCTGTTCACAGAGAAGACACTCATTCATTTGCCTAAAGACACAATTGACTTTCTTTTCCTCCAGAGCCACTTTGACTTTAAACACAACTTCAAGGGATGGCATACATTTATATGATATGACATTCCCGTCATTGGTACTACCGACTGCGCCACAAAAAAAAAAAAAAAAGAGGGCAGGTCAGTCCATCAATTCAGTGTTGTGATGCTGTTTGGATGGAAACAGTCTACTGAGATGGAGAGGAGGATGCCTGCCACTGACGGAATATAGCAAACACCCTTTTGGACTTGTCACGAGGGCCCTGGGAGGAAAGAGAGCATAGAGAAATGTCAGATATTGTTTAAACTAAAGCAACATAGCTATGTGGTGAAATTAGCACGATTTTTTGGGGTGAGAATACAAATTGTTGACTCGCCTGTCCTGGACTACCCCCTGCTGTATTGGAGTTCCTCCTCATGGGCATAAGGAGGTCGAGAGCAGCCTTCCAGCCCTGCTGATGAAGCGCTGAGACTCCATCCAAACAGGGGATTGACCCTGGATCCACATTCTCCTTCCCCACGGAGACCCAGGGACACCAGTCTCTGTGCTGAGCGAGGGGGTCAAATGTATTCCTGTGCAGGAGCCCATCCTGAAAAAGTAGGCAGTAGTTTGTAATAACAAATTTAAAATAAGTAATGCAAAACCCTCTTTCATATTTAACTAGGACTAGGATGTAGATTATACTAGCGTGTCTTGAATTAGGTAAAATACTGGATAAAGTGAGACCATGTCATGTTTCTCTCATGGTTCTTTAGGTAACAATGTTTAGATAAAGATATAGTATGTGTGATCTCATTGTGCCTTTGAGAGCTCGTCAGGGATTATGCTGATGTGATGACATTTCAAACATTTTCATAAATGTATAGCGTTAACCTGTGCTAGGACTGACAAATCACTGCTTGCAATCTAGGTGCTTTTGATGGTAATCTTCACCCTGGAATAATGTATGCCTCCTCTACCTGTGTACGTTTAAAAGACACTAGGAGCACTGACTTCCATGTCACGGATTTTCTTGCAAATGTGGCAAAAATCTGTCATGGAAGAATGAGATCGCATAGAGATAACAATTAAAAATGTGATGAACTGTGCAGCCCTATCTTAAATATTGATTTTACTTTTTAAACTGGTCTTAATGACCAGGTGGCACTGAATAATAAGTTATGAAAGTAAACGTGCGGCCCTAGTGCTGCAAAAAACAATGTGTGAAATCAGCAGTAATGTTAGTTCTTACAGGACCGCCAAATGAGAGGCACAGGCGTTTAGGAGGGGGATGCAGGCTGGCAGCGCCATCAGATCCAGAGTTGTCCCCGTGTCCTCTACCGCGAGTTGCAGACCTTTTGCCCCTGGGTGAAGAACTTTGCAGCTCTTCACTGGGGCTTGGCGAGTCTCTGCTTCGGGCACGCAAAGACACGGGGGAGGAGGTTCCCTCACTCTGTAACACACACACAACACAGCATTGTTAGAAAAAAGCAGCCTGGTGCATTCCCCTTGCCATTGTTATACACAAAGTAAAGTAATTCTGCTTAAAATGAATATGTGCATATTAGCCGAGCTTATTTCACTGTTCAACCTTCATTTGGTGAAAGCTTGCCTGGTCAGAGCGGGTGGTGTCCTGGCTCCTCAGCTTCATGCGACATGGAGTTGTAGCAGGGCTGGGTGAGGCAGAAGCAGGCTGGTCCCCCATGCCCTCATGCGGGGCTGCTGGGGCAGGACTCGTTGCTTGAGGAGGCGGGCCTATAGTGTTTGGTGAGGAGTCTCCCTCGCTTCCCGTTCCCTCCATCTGGTGGAAGTTCCACAAGCCCACCTTGCGCATACAGTACGAGCAGGTGAGGATGGGCAGGTTCATTGTGTGCAGAGTTGGGCTATGAAAGAGAAATTCATTGCTCAGACATCTTAATCGGGGAGGAAGTGCTAAAAAAAAAAAAAAAGGTTTGTACCATGTTTCTCTCAGTTAACTAAATGCCCTTTCATTCTATTTCCTTCCATGTAGCTAGTGCATCATTGAGGTTACATTTGACATTGAAAATGTGCTTCTATGTATGCTTTCTCTGGTTTATGACAATATCAAGTGTTATTGTAAGGTGTGTTAAAGTGTCTAGCACAGCAAAGGGGGGGGGGGGGGTCATCTCACCTTGCATCCCAGCCACAGAGAGAAACAATGCATGCAGCCACTTGGACAGCCAAAGATTCAGAACATGGAGAACCTCCTTTTCTTTTTTGTTCGTCCTCGATCAGCTGTAGTACGACACTGATAACATCCTCAGTCAACGACTGCAAAGAAACAGTGGACATTCATTTACATGTGAACAACTGAAAATTGTATGTTTTCTTATGGTTGAACACATGACATTATTCTACAATTAATCGGACTGTCTCTTCTATAATCTCCTGGCTAAAGCAATTTCTGGAAGAAAACGTGTTCATAATGCTTCTAAAGACTGTTCTCCTGCCTCACCATAGATTTCAGCTGCTCCGGCTTCATGGCAGGCAGCTGCTGTACAAGGAGACAAGTGCTCTGGAAGCGCTCTAAGAAGGCAGTGAGCAGTGCTGATGGTTCACAGGCCGGAACCAGCCAGAACCGCTCTGAAATTACATCAACATTCACCATAAACATGTGGATAACTCAGGGCAAATTCAGCTTAAATGGCGTGACAATCTTTTTAGTATAAACATGCAATAGGAAGTTCTTGCTCCTACCTGGGCATGGAAAGTCAGGCCAGGGGCAAAACTTCTCATGCTGCGTCCGAAGCTGCCTTGTTATCTCCGCAATGCGGCTTCCATCTATAGAATAAAAAGAAGAAAAGTTGCCTGACCTTTCATTTCTTGGCAGACTTAGATCATCATCAGCATAACCGTGCCAAAGTAAAGTGTGTGTGCCCTTGTCGTTTTTCTGTAAATTTAAGCTTGGCTCACATTTTTCAAAGTCTAAAGTCGGTTGTAGTGCTGCACAAAGGAAAACCTGGCAGCTGGAGCACTTGAGCATATCACAGCCAATGTTGATCCAGCCATATCTGGCACACATCAGAGGGGACAGTGTGCGGGGTTTTCCTGCCCATTTCAAACAGTGCCACGCTAAGGAAAACTTCACTCAGACACAAAGCAAGCATCGTCACATTCATTATTACTCTGAATAAAAGAACATTTACTTTTTATGTGAAATATCAAAAAACATCAAAATCATAGATTAACAAGCGCTGTCTTCATTAATGATCACACAGTGAGCCATTAAAAAAAAGAAAAAAACATGGCTGCCTCCTGAAACTGGACCAAAAGGTCAAAATGAATAAAAGGATATTGAATAAGTTTCCACTCTTGAGAAAAAGGCGTCTTTGTTCGTTGCTTCACAGGATACTTGAGTGTTGCTTTTTACTTCCAGAACTTTCAAATTTCCTTGTCCACTGAAATCCACATAGAGAGAAAAACAGATCGTCAGTTTCCACGTGCACGCTTCATATTTGAATAATAACAAAAACATGTAATTGATTAAATCTATGCATACTGTATATTGCGAGATTCCTACTTTCTCCTAATAACCCTGCACAGCTAGACATGGAGGCTTATTTGGGGGGTGAGCGGTAACACGCGGTTATGTAACATTTCACCTGAATGAAACAGCTCCAATTTTCCTTTTCTGCCTAACACGATCTGTTTGCTACACTAACGCACAGTAGGAAGCCAAACCAAATGCCTTTAAACTAGCCCTGGTGGCTGGGCAGCAAGTGGACAACACTCCAGGCGTGAATAGCAAACTAATGAGGGTACCACGTTCCAGTAAAACTTTCGGTTCCCACCCCCTTATCTGTAACTGTGCACGGGAGTAGTCGCACAATGGCTGCCATAACACATTTGCCCGGTATATAGACTAAATACAAGCAAGAATAACAACGGTGTGCACGCTCCCGTTCCTGGCATACAAGCTCCTAAATCTGTGGAGACTTGTCCCTCTTCATATTACGCTGAGTGAAGGCGGCTAAAGAAGCGGAGCTTCCAGGCTAAGTGGCTAACCAAATTAGCTAATGTCAACTTGTTTCCCCGGCCCCCTTTAAATCAAACAAATAGCGCGCGATTGTTTAAAAAAATGCACCTGTTGGATCCGATATCCGTGGACGACACTCCTGCATTGAGGAGCTCACGAACTTTCTCTGGAGATGCAAAAGAAGACTTTTGTTGATTAGTGTTGCCGAGACGATCCCCACGACTGCCGCCGAGAGTCGCCATGATCGGCTCTGTAGTCCTCCGGAAAATACAAGCTGGCACCGAACGTTCCGCCTTGTAAGACCCCCACCACAGCACACGAGTGGGCTCACAGTCACAGACCCAGAGTCGTATAGAGGGATCATACAAAATAAACGGCTCTGACTGGACCTGCATGACTTCTTCACTCCCGGCATCATTTGAATTTTGTTGTTGTTTCACTATCAGAATTAAATTTATAAATATTTATCAAGAAGGATATTTTTTTTTCATTTGACATAATGAGTTACTTTATACAAAGCAGGATCCGATTTAAAAGCTGTTATCCTTTTACACTTAATTTATTTTTCATCCATTTTGACATATATTTCCTAGCAAGGAGATACAATTTAATTTAAAGCACTCTTATAACACTGGGAACGTCAGAGGAATTAATTATCAGACCCTTTATGTAAAAGCGGTAGTAGGCTACTGTGCTCTAAAAATACTCCATCACAAGTAAAAGTCCTGCATTCAAAGTCTTTAAGAAGTAGGAGTATTATCATCACATCCTCATTGTCAGCAGATTGATAACCAACTCATGGATCAGTCTCCTAAGTCTCCTCCTCCCTTCACTCCTCCACTCACTACCACGTCATCTGCGTTCACCTCAACCGAGTACATTCTTGTAACACCAACCTTGCTGATAACGAAGACGACAAAAAGAGAGAACTCTCTCGGCTGGGCTGATGAGACTGATGAGGTCAGCAAGGTCCCCAAACGTTTGCCTCCAATATTCCCCTCTTAAGAACATCTCTAACAAGCTGAAATCAGGGATAAGGGAGCTGGATGTGATGTGATGGACCTACTGCCTGGTACAGTGGTCCTCACCAACACCCAGAAGCAGACTCATCTTCTGGACAAAGTGCACTCAACTAAATCTGCAGATTTATCAAATTTGATTAACCTAAACACGTGTCAGGTCTTTGGCAGGTAAATCATTTCTAAATAATGATTTGATTATCCAACACAATCTTAATTTGATGTGTTTAACTGAAACTTGGTTAGACCAACAGTAGTAGTAGCAGTTCTTATTAAGGCAACACCTCCCCACTTCATTTGGTGAGTAAAGTACGGTGCATTAATTAAAGAGTTGCCATTTTGTGCAATAATTCTATTAAGTGCAAGCAGGTGTCTTATTTGGGAAATATGTGTCTTTTTAATCTGTCAGTTGAGCTGTAGGCTACATGCCACCTCAGTGCGAACATTCTTGATGACTTTGCTGAACTGCTATCATCTGCTTTGACTTTGAGTGTGTAGTTATTTTTGGTGATTTTAACTTTCATGTTGACAACCCCCAGGACAGCAGCACGAAGGAACTTTGTTGTATTCTGGATGACGACAGACTGTTTGAGCCCACACACAGTAAGGAGCTCCTTCTGGACTTAATCATCTCCAAAGATCTTAACATTGCTGAGGTTGAGGTGACTGATGTTGCTCTTTCCCTCTTTTTTCTTTGAGATGACTATCACTGTGCATGCACGTTTTCAAAGTTAGAATCAGTAAATGGCATATCACTGAAAACACCAGTCAGTTATTCGTTCAAGCTTTCTTTTCCAACCCCCTGCACCCTTGTGGGTCTCAGTCAATGAGTTTGTGATCATTTCAGTCCTAAAATTACAGATGTTTTTGATGCCATCGCTGCCATTAAGTTAAAGGTAGTCGCTGGTTAGAAAAAAGCATAATGGAGGTAAAAAAAAAAAGTTAGTGTCAAAAAAGTGACTGTAATCTGTAAAGTAAGATTTTGCATTTATGATTTAGGACTGAGAAATGCAAGACAGTCCTTCTTGTACGACTGCCAAAAACAATAATGATGCACATTTCTTATTTGCTACTGTTACATGGCTGAGAAACCAGCTGCCCACTTTTTCACAATTCATTTTTAATTGGTTCTAGCATAGTCTAAACTGCATTGATATTATTTTATAAAGTTGTTATTATGCGTTTTTTCCAGATATTGTTGTGGGCCACAGCTACCGGTGAGGATACTGAGGTCATGTTCTTGGTAATATTTCTGGGAATTTGGTGTTTTGATGACATGAAGATAAGTTTACCTTCTAAGATTAAAGACATATTACCTGTGTTAATATTACAAGTGTTCGTAGTTCATAGTGTAAAACTTTCACTTTATATTTAACCACATGAATAATATCCAAACAGGTCCTTGGACCATGCACTTAGACAGAGAGAGAAAAAAATGTTGTTGTTTTGGACACCGACACGCGTAGTCCCGCCCATCTCTAATGACGCGAATTCCTAATAACAAGCCTCCTGATTGGCCAATTGTCTGACGGCCGGGGGGGGGTAAACATTTGTGAATGGCTTCATACTGACTGAGATGTGGAATGGTTTATAATGTTTTATCAGCACTTTAGCAGATGTTGTTTTTATTCGATGTGACGTCCTTCAGGGCTGGATTGTAACAGGGAAACGATGTCGGACACTGAAGGCGCTCGCAGTCCAGACCAGCTGAATAGATTCCAGAAACTGAGACACAGGCCGCCGCACGGTGAGACGTTAGCAGGTCGGTCAACAGCATGCTAACGATAGGTTTTAACTGAACGTTACCGTATTCTGCCTGTCAAATAAACACGGTGTGACTGAGATCAGCTGCTCCACGTACCCCCCTCTTTGCGTGTTAAGAATGGAAACGTTTCCCGTAACCGCTACTGCCCGCATTGCTAAGCTTAACGCTCAAGCTAGCATCTAGCTAGCATGCCTGTTTATCTTTGATTAGCTTTATAGCCACCATATATTATGTGTTACTAAATGAATGGAGATGGTAGCTTAGTCATAGTCGTTGTAAAAACGTGTCTTTCAGCTGCACAGGTAACTTAGTTATAGTTATATGGCCTCACACACGATCATTGATTAGGTTTTATAGACCTGCAGTGCTCCCAGGAGATTCAGGGCTGGGGACCAAGTATTGATAATAATCATCTATAGTACTCAATGGACATAACGTTACATGATTGAGATCTGTCATGTGTGGAGAAAGAGAGTCTTTGGCTCCTAACATTTTCCATTTGGCTGTTAGTATTAGAGTTATGTTGTGGTACATCGTTGGTACAGATCCTGGTCATGTTCTGTTTTCTTTCTTCTGTTTTGTTGTTGTTGTTGTTGTTTACCACAGATATATACTGCAGCTGGCAAGGCCAGTCACACCTGGGGCCAAAGCACAGTCACACAGTCCAACTCAGGTTCCTCTGACTGGTATCGACACGCAGCTGCAAAACATATTCAATGGCCTTGAAAACTGATAGACATCATTGTCTCGCATGTCAGAAGTGAATGTGACACTCCCTTCGAGCATGTGGTCATGCGTAGCTTTCTGAACACACTTTTAGCTGTTTATTTGGGAGGGTTATGCCTCCAAGTTTGGTCAAATATAGCTCTTCTTCCTAATGAGTCTGAATGCGCTATTTAGTCCTCTTTACAAAAGCGTCTGCCAGTAAATCATGGCCTGTTACGATTCTGAAATATTTGATTTAGGTGTGAGACAGTGATATAAAACTCGCCAAACTTGTGTTGGGTTACTGGCATTACATTTATATCAGTGGGGATGTTCAATCATGCCGTCGCTCTACATTCCTCTACAAACGTGATCATTAACAATGCATTGGTTGGCTGAAACATCACTGTTCTGAGTTCTATGTAGGTTCTATTCTTAGTACATTAAACAAAGGTACATTATTCTATTTGGATTAATGTGCTCTGCAGTCTGTCATCGTGTGCCTGTTTATAGAAAACTGCTTATCCCTCAGGCCAAACATCTTAGTGTTGTGGTAATGTTTTATTCCCTGCTATTTGCAAAGCTTTCCTTATAAGGTAAAACATGTCGGCCTAGCAGATGATGTGGTGACTGTGTGATTCTGTATTTTAAATACAGCACTGTATATGAATAAACTTGTCTGTCAGCTTTAGTGGCAGAGTGCCATTTCATTTGGACTGCACTACATACACCGTATAGTGTAATGAGGATGCACCGATCGCTTAAGTATCGTTTAAGGTTTTTATGGCTTATTATCTCCAAGCAGATGTATTTAAGTTGAGATTCAACTGTGTGTGAACGCAATGCACAAAGGAATACGTCTGTCTTCAGGGCAGGGCATGTTCAACCTGTGACTACCTGTGTGCAGGATGGTGTTTCCCTGCTTTCTGTCAGGCGCATTCTGTGACAAGGAAGACCGATAAATGCCTTATCATGATTTCCCAACGTTGTGGCTCTTGTCTAGTATCTCTGTTAGTATGCCCCTCCCCTCCTCATCCTATGAAACTTTGTTCCTCCCTCTCTAGGTCATCGTATGCCCCCTGCCCGCAGTGGGCATCGCTGTGTTGCGGACAACACTAACCTGTATGTGTTTGGAGGGTACAACCCTGACTACGATGAGTCAGGAGGCTCAGAGAATGAAGACTATCCGCTGTTCAGGGAACTTTGGAGGTACCACTTTGCCACCGGCTGCTGGCAGCAGATTCGAACAGAGGGCTACATGCCCACAGAGCTGGCGTCTATGTCAGGTGAAACATTATTTAATAGTTTTGAACATTTCAATACTTACCATTAGTATTTTACACACAAAAGAAAAAAAATCCAGTTTTCTGTTAATGTGTTTGTATTTTGAGTTTGGTGTTGCTTTGTTTCCTTAGCTGTTTTGCACGGCAACAACCTCCTGGTGTTCGGTGGCACCGGGATTCCCTTTGGTGAGAACAATGGCAATGACGTACACGTTTGTAACGTGAAGTACAAGCGATGGTCACTGCTCAACTGTCGGGGGAAGAAGCCCAACAGAATATATGGACAGGTAACCTCATAAATCACTCCTTTGATTGTTCACTGGGTCAAATTCAATTATGGGTTTTGAAGTATTGAGACTGGTCGTTGGATCCAGTGGATGTACAAAACTCTGACACTTTATTCCTCAGGCTATGGTTATTATAAATGGCTTCCTGTACGTGTTTGGAGGGACGACGGGTTACATCTACAGCACAGACCTGCACAGGCTGGACCTGACCACCAGGGAGTGGATTCACCTCAAGCCCAACAACCCTCCAGACGACCTGCCTGAGGAACGGTACGCCTTCATGTCGCCTGAATGTGCTGCAGGAACAAACCCGGCCAAAGGATCTTTTCAGCAAAGTAAAAATTCCATGACATGGCGTGCTATTGTGTGTGTCACAGGTACAGACATGAAATAGCACATGACGGACAGAGGATCTACATTCTGGGAGGAGGAACGTCCTGGACATCTTACCCTCTGGACAAGGTACTACACCACTAAGGGTATACTCACCAAAGACATTTAACTGTGTGCCAGACAGAATTTTAAATTCAACATACTTATTCCAGTTTATGCTACAGTTTCAATCTAAATCACTGCTAGACTAACAGTAAATGTTGTGTCTTTTTAATAGATACATGCTTACAATCTGGAGACTAATTCCTGGGAGGAGATTTCAACTAAACCTCACGATAAAATAGGTCTGTATTCTGCACCTCACTTTTAACGAAGCCTGTTTTGTTCTCTTTCGCAGCCTGCTAAAATGTGTGTGCTTTTGACAGGGTACCCTGCTCCTAGGAGATGCCATAGCTGTGTACAAATACGAAATGGTGAGAACCTTTCAATAATGCTGTGCAACCAATATCACCAGATTTCTAAAAAAAAAAAAAAAAAAAAAGGAAGAAGAAATCCTACTTCTGTAATCCTGCTTCAAAGATAAACTGGTGCTCCTGATATCGCATCCTCGTATGTTTTGAAAGTAACTTCCTGCCATGCACAACTATGTGAACACTATCTAACCACTTGTTTTTTCTGATGTAGATGTATTCATCTGTGGAGGCTACAACGGGGAATTGATATTAGCTGATCTGTGGAAGATCAACCTGCAGACTTTCCAGTGGAGTAAACTACCAGCAGTGATGCCTGAGCCGGCCTACTTCCACTGTGCTGCTGTCACCCCAGTTAGTACAACACTAACCGTCTCTAATCACTTGTCAACTGAGCTTAGAACCTCGGGTAGTAAACGCTACACTGAATATAATATTTACATCTTCCTCTCTTTACTTCACTCTGTCCCAAGGCTGGCTGTATGTATATCCATGGTGGCGTAGTGAACATCCATGAGAACAAGAGAACTGGCTCTCTGTTTAAGATCTGGCTGGCTGGGCCCAGCCTGCTGGAGCTATGCTGGGAGAAGCTCCTCAAGGCCTTTCCCCACCTGACTTCACTCCCCACCATACAGCTGCTCAACCTGGGCCTCACACAGGAACTCATTGAACGCTTGAAATAGGCCGCACGGCGGAGGACGGACAAATGAATGGATGGGACAGACTGGGAGGAGTTGAGGTCTGACAGAGCACAGAATTCAATTCATAGCAAAATTCTCTGGAAAACACACTCTCCCTCCCCTGCCTAACGTAGCCCCGCCTTAAAACCAAAAACAATGGGATGCCTTTTTTTTTTTTTTTTTTTGCTGTTTCAGTGAAGATAAATTAATTAAATGTGGAATGTTTTATGGATTTTACTCAACTTCCCCCCACTTACATGATGCCTTTGTGTCAAGCTAAACAAGAATTCCCTCTTATCCTCCAAACTGTGACAGCTGGAAATACTTTATTTTGCCATGTCATATTTTCAAGGACCATCTCTCAAATGTAAAAAAGAAAAAGATCTGCCTTCTCTAGTACTTTAAAAAAATCTGTGCAAAGGAAGAATGCATGTGTATTTATTTGAAGGACTACATTTCTTTCATCATCTGATTGCTGTTTGCACACTTTGTCTTGCATATTTGTGGACGTTTACTTTTTAAATAGATCTCATAATCAATCTATCTTCTAAGTCTGATACATGGAAGACGATAGTTTTGCTAAAGGATCATGCCAGTGTTTTTGCACATTATAGCCAATTTAATCCAAATCTCATTTATAATTTGTTTCTGCCAACATGCTGTTTTAGTTTTTTTTTTTTTTTTTATAAAATGATTTTGCGACCTTCCAGGCAGCAACTTTCAGAAGCTTGAGACTTGTACATTGTTGAAGTTATGTTACATTGCATACATTTGTCATAAATTAAAGCAGACATGATATTCACTTTGAGGGATTACCAATCTTAAATATCTTTTTAAGTTGTTTTCAGAGTATTTGTGGTAAATTAGCTAAAACATGCAGAAACACTGGATGCTCTTAATTAGTGTAACGGAGGAAAGGTTCAATGCTGGATTCGCCCATGTCTGAGCACTTGTATTTTCCATTATACATTATGTTACAGCCTAGTCTGCAAAAATGAATAAGGGTGGGTATCTTCAAAGTTGTTTCATTACCATGCCATTTGCTTTCAGGTCTCATTTGTACACCAAACCGTGCAACACATCACTGTGAATCTGGTGCTCTTTAAAATTAAATTTAAATGCTTTTATTCAAATAAAGACTTCATTCTATTAAGACATTTACTCCCTTTCTGTTGATGACACAACATGTTTGGCACAGGGAGTTGCTTTAGTAGCATGATGATACCAACATTTCTTTTTACTGCAGTGCCTTTTTCAGACTTTTAATGAGGCTGATATTTCATCAATAGGCAGTATAAGATCTTCACATATCTAGACAAAAGGGTTTATGTTGTAAATTGTGTTTAAGAAAGTGAATATTTTAGCTATTTTTGACCAAGCCGTTGAATATAATCGCTAAACATCTTGGTGTCAAATAACTTTCATATGCTGTTTCAAGGATGCAGAGACTTTGTATTCTCTGTTAAAAGCCAGACGGTAGACTTAAGGACAGGATGCAGCATATTCGGCCTTTTGGGTATTAGTCCTAACAGCACTTGATAAAACACATACAGTTACTATGTGTAATTCATTAAACAGATGCCAAATAATTGAAACTTGCATAAAGTGATTCTAATGATGAATGAGAGGTAAGACCCAGGAAGGGATGTTGCTCTATGGTTTGATCTGCCTGCACTACTTTACATTACATTACATCTTTATTTATGTTCAACATAAAACTACTTTGTGCATGATGTCATTTCCTGCTTTTAAAATTAACATAATCACTTTTACTATGGGATATAGTTTTAAAGATGACCACTAAAATGTTGTACAGTAGGCTTGTGTGAATGTTGTGTTGGAATAATGTCAATAAAAGTGTTCTGTAAATAAAAAAATAAAAAAAAACTATGTAGGAAGTGAATCCCTGGTTGAAAGAGTGGTCTTATTTCACAGAAGTTTTGTAAATGAATGCATTTATTATGTCCTGTATAAACCACTTATTACAATATATTGGAACCATAAATGAATACCACCAATTTACATAAATGCAAGAGCAAAAAAATTGAAGTTACAGATTTTTACGACAGCCAGAAGTGGGAATGTGTTCAAGTGTGCAAAGCACCGCTCAGCATCACATATTGACAAGAAGCAGACAGCTGTACGCCTACAACTCTGCTGTCAACTTTCAAAACTCAAAACTCAATCCAAAATCCCTTTCCATGTTTTGTGCCACTGAATCCACAGCACCTGCAGATGAAGTAAGTGTATTTCTGTAGTGGCTTAACATGTTCGGAGCCAAGCAGGTCAACAAGAGGGCGGAGGAGGAGCAAAGAAGTAAAGGGACAAAAGGATGAGGTAGACCACCACTAGAGCAGTGCCTGCAAAGGAAACAGTTGATTATAATCTACATATCAAGATTAAACTTTACTAAAAAACAGACCGCAGGCACGCTTCCTCTTACCTGCTCACTCATTACTGCATGGTTTAGAAGTTAGACATGACTAGCTTGCTAACACATGTAATATTCTCTCTTGGTCTCTTAAATGTATGATGTCCATATCTAATGTGGAGAAATCTGCATCCTGACTTACCCTGAAAGTAGTCACATTTTCCATCCATGAAGATGTAGTTGACCAGAATGACACTGAAGATGCTGGCCCAGAGATGAATATCACTGAACACAAGCACGAATCCAACATCCTGGGGAGGAAAAAGTCAGGATTGAAACAACTGCATTTTGTTAGGAAATCTAATATTACACTTTTGAATGGAACTTACATAGAAGGCATTGAAGAGTACGAGCAGTGGGATCTGAATCATGCAGACCTGTACAGCAATGCAACTGCCCACTTCAAGGCTGTAGCCAAAAACACATTTCAAGTTGAAAAGTTGAAATGTGTTGAAAACACTCTTGTTAATTTCAACAAAGGCTCAATCGACATTGGTATCAACTTATGGAAAAAGAATGTTTTAACAGCATTACACTTTATGCACAATGTGAAAATCTATATTCATAAATCAGTAAAATAACAAATTAGACATCGAACCATTACATTTTCATTATTTATGCATAAATTATATATTTAATATTACCAGATCTATCATTGCTCAAGTGTGGTCTTTATAAAAAGGGGAAGAATTCAGGCGATAAATAAAAACTATACTTCAACAGCACAGTGTACCCGTACCTCAGGCTGATGTTGTTCTGCAGTGCAAATTGGATCCCATTGACAATCTCAGGAAGCTCTGGCACCATGGCCAACACGGTGACACCGATGAAGTACTGCAAAAGGTGGGGCAGCATCAAGTACAAAGACACACACTGAGGTACACAATTCTTTGTCCTCAAGTCTAAACACATCCGTTAACATCGAGGCTCCATAAAAACTACATTTCTTGGATTTGGCTTATCAAAAAGGTATTCTAGCTTTTGAACGTCAACTTGATTGGAAGTTTGCATTTTCTTCTATGACCAAGAACCAATTAAACTCTGAATCTAAGCAACATTTTGCCTTCCTCTTTAAAGAAAACAGCATTTTAATACCTGGGAGATGTAGGAATGGGTCAGGATGGGCTCTATGTTCTGAGTGCTGAGGTCAGCGCAGCAGGCCATCAATATTGTGGCAGCAATCAGCACTCCAAGAGCCCTCCACCGGGACCAGTGGACTACATGATGAGCTGCTGGTTGAATACACATGATAAGCTTACCGAATTTTTAACATTTCTGAATTACTTCACCGTAGCAGAAGGTTTTTCCTCCCCTTTCACATCCAGCCAATCGAGTTCAAAGTCTGAACTTTCTCCCGTGTCTAGGTTCTTCACCCTCACATGCTTAAGGGTTTTGTCATGCACAGGCACAACTTTACCTCACTGCAAGGGAAAGGCTTTCCTCACATGCACAAATACAGTAGGCAACAGGCATCAGTGCTTCGCTATTTCATGCTCCTTCACCCAAAACACTACGTGCACACCACAGACACACCTGTTGCAACGTGGCCGGTGGAAACAATGCTGGCATTAATACACGTGTTGGCTACAAGGTGATGGCCAGTGGTGACCTCACCAGTGGGGTGGTAGATGCCGGTACCCTCATGGGCGTACTTAACACCGTGCGCATGGCCCCCTTGACCATCGCTGATATGGATATCATAGATGTGGGAGTGGGTTTTCAGTGTGAAGATGAGGCCGATCAGGTATGCAGCAGGCAGCAGCACAGAGATTGTGTACACCAGCGGCCTGGAAAACATTTTTGTATTTAATAACTAGTTAAAACACTACCGAGTTGATAACTTTAAAACTACAATTACCGCCTCGCATCATGTTGCAGTTTACATCCACGTCTGTCCAAATGTCTTTATCTTATTCTATTAGACATTTGTGTGAAATCTTCATAACTCTTCAGCTATGACCAAAAACGTGGTCAAAGTGACCTTTGACCACCAAATTCCCTCCATGCGTTCCTGAGATATCGCATTCACGAGAATGGGACGGACGTACAACCTGAAAACTTAATTATGCTGCAAAGTAAAAATAAATATGCATGTAGCACCTGGACTTACTCAATATGGGACAGGATCAATTGTGGGACAGCTTGACTCTGTTCAAAACAAAAAAAACAATATCCTTTTGTTAACCTTTTATATAATCAAACTGTGGAGAACCACACATATTTAATCTTCATGGTAGGAGTGTGTAGAATGTGTCAATAGAAAAAAAATAAAGTAATTTAAGCACTGCAAGCACAAATCACACTGCTGCTCCCCCCGTCATTTCCAAATGCAGGTACAGTGAACAAAACTGGAATGAAAAAGTGTTTTTAAACTCACCGTGTTGTAGTGACAATTTTTGCAGACGAAGGGCACACTGCCATTGCCTGGGATGTTGGTGCAGCTCTCACACACCAGATTACTGAAGGCCTTTGAGAAGAGGGTGGGAGCGAACACACCTAGGGACGATATTACAACATGACGGTCAGGTTTCATGAATCCGTTAGTAGAGGACAAACTGTATGAAAACCAGTTACATGTGCAGCTGCCATCCATACCTCCAACGGATATGAAGAGTAAAGCTGAGCTCACTCCGGCTGACCGACTGTTGAATCGTTGCTCCCTGTGCTTAATGCCCCCAATGACCATACAGATACCCTGTGCCGTTGACAAACACAAACAAGTCAGCAAGAGGTTTAGAATCATATCAGAGGATCATAATGCTGCATGTTCACTGATATGTACATGTGTTCGTTTTGTCCTTCTCGGGCACTCACAGGTACAAACAGTATACACCCGAGCAAGGTCCCAGTGAGCGCTGCTTTAACGATCTCCTCATAACATTTGGTGCCTGCATTGTGTCCGTGCAGCAGTGCTGTGATGTAAAAGGTCATCTCCGAGATGGAACCAAACGTCGCATTCACCACTGCTCCCACTGCGAAGTTACTCTGTGCAGAAATGCTGCGGGAATATGCAGTTATCAATAAAGCAACCATTTTATGTATAGTGCATCATAATTCATGATTCAAATTACACCTCCAGTATGTACTTTCTCTTTTCATTCACATTCATCTACTGGCCACAAATTAAAAAAAACAACCTTACCTGGCAATACCCATGCCAATATAGTAGGATAGGGGAATGATAGAGGTGATGGCTGTGGCAAACTTGGTCTCTGCGCTGCATAAATGGTGTTCACGGTCAGTATAGCCAATAATGAGAGTGATAAATACCAGGGGGAGCAGGTCTGCAGGGAACAGAGACTTAAGGAGAACAAATGGACAGACAGCAGTACTGTATTTACCATGTATATCTGCAGAACTGTGCAAAAAGGATACTGAGAGCAAAAATGTTGATTCCTTGGACAGTGTATTTGTAGTAATATGCATTGAAAGCATGATAACAGCACAAGAGGACTCTGGTCTCACACCCAAACGTCTGCAAAAGAGAACATAATACACTCACCTCAAGTTACAAATTCATTCATTAGATGCAAACAATCAACTAACGGGTGAGGTTTAAAGGGCCAGTTCACACAAATCAAAAGAAAAAAACCCTTTCTCTGCTTTCCTCTAGTGGCATCAGCAACACGTCTTTCTATGAACAACATCCTGGTTACTCTGGATAGTGCATCAATGTCAATGTCAATTTTCATGTAGAGATATTTCTATTGAAGTCAATTCCCAATGACAACTGTCCAGTGTTAAAGGTCTCTGAACATTTGCAAGTTATGTACAGTACATGTTACATACCACTTGGGGGAGCTGTGTTCTTTGTGATTTGATTGAACTGCCCCTTAAAAGCAATTAGTAGATGCATGGCGAGCGCTTCAGTTAGATGTTGCCGTAGCTAATAAGGCGACTATAAAAACCTTGCAGTTCATGTTTTGACAAGCATGACCCGTGCTGCAAAGGAAGGAAAATATTGCACACATTCCTTGCCTTGATACCTCACCGAAAGAGATACCTTTAATCAGTTTGGACTTGTTGATACTTCCGGCACCTTAGTTCAGATTAAGCAAAGTAGAGCAGCTGCCATCTTGCATTAATCTCCACTAACCACTGACATTTCATTCAAAATGAATGTGTACCTTTTCCAGTCTGTGAATCTGAATGTCCTCCGGTTCCATGAGCAGGACGATGGTCAGTGCGCGAGCGTTCATCTTGGCTACAGGTATAGTGAAGACCGGCAGCCAGGAGAGCAAACAGGCCAGGGAGTGGACCACAGTCAGGACAGGGTAGCCCAGCAACAGCCAAACATAAGTGCTGATGCGACACTGCAGAGAGGGACAAAGAACAATTTGAATCATACAAAGAAATATTAATAAAGCTATGATGCACCAAGTGGTTAAGATTCTGACTTTCTTACCCAATGCCTCAAAGTTCTTCTAGCTGGTGGTTCTGGGACAGGGATCACAACAGGGATTGGGGAAGACATCAGAAGGGGCGCAGTGTCCTTTTCCCTACTGTCTTCACTGTCTTCAGGAATGACCTCAAACTTTGGAGGCTTTGCAGTAGATCTCTTAACATCATCAGCCTGAAAAGGGCAGAGACGACAACAGGACATCACTTGTTGGCAACATGTAAATAGCACGTCTCAGCTTCTTTTGAGACACTTAAATAGTGGAATATTATTATACTATCGAACAAGTTACCTTCTCTATCGACTTCCCAAATGGCCAAATAAAGTACCACGCCATCATTAAACAAAGTTTGCCTGGAAAGAGCAACAAGAAAAGAAATGTCACGATGTTCCAGATTTCAGAGGACATTACAATACGCTCAGTGATGCAGCTAGTTTTTAGGATACGTACCATAAGGGGCACCGACGATTGTTAGAAACATGACAGGACAAATGAGGAGGTAGATTAAAGATATCCACCATCCAAATAAAATGACATAAAGTATGTTCCCAAAGGTGGCCACTGAGCCTGGAGGAGAGGAGAGATCACAAACGCAGGTTATTGCTTTCCCCCGGAACAACTCCGTATCTGCCTGTATGAGTATGTAGGTCCTGTTAAAACAGAATGAATGCGCAAAGATAGAACATGAAGAAAAAGACCTTCTTGAGGCTTAACAATGCTAAGATCAGAGTGGAGCTCTTTGATGATGTCTGATCGGTCTTCAATGGGCTTCTCCGTTACATTGCCCTTCCACTTTCTGAAGCCAAACTGGAAAAAAAAGCGTGAATTTGGATTAAAAGTATGTCACATGAAACAAAGAATGTAAAAACAGTCTGGTATTGTTAACACATAACTCAGTTCAACTCCACATTTTCCCCTTCAGCCATGCATACACCCCCTGCAAAGGATACCGAGTCATTAGGTGCAAAATGTTGGGAGTGAAAGTGTCGCCTTAACCCAGTCGTGTCCCACCTTGTAGTTGTTGGCCTCCCTGTGTGCCTCCACCTCATTCTCAGCTCTGATTGTAGTCTTTGTGGTGCCCTCATCCCAAACCTCCTCTCCATAGCGAGAGGGAGTAGATTGTGAGGTACCGAGTCCTCCTGCGGTAGATCACAGCTGTGAGAAAACTCTTCCACATGGCAAGATGGGAAAATATCCCACATGATAATCCCCCCCCAAAGAAACTGGGACACTCACCTCTGTGGACGGTGAGGAAACATTTCGGTGTGTAGTGACAGAATTGGTGGGCAGAAGCAGCCGGGGAGGGCGTCTCCGCTGCGCCTAGATCCGGATGCTGGGGGCCAACGCAGAGCAAATCAGTTTGCCACTGTCGCCGTGGAAACTGGGGATGCTGTTCAGGATCTACAGAGTTCTCTGTATAAGGAAACATCACGGGGGGGGGGGGGGGAGAGCTACGGATTTAAAAAAGGCACAGCACATCAAGCAATCTCTTGAAATAACTTTTTGCAAATTGTGCAACAATGCTGAACCAAGACAGGAGGTGGTGCATTGAAATGATGAATCTACACACAAAGTCGCCTCACGGCGGGGTATCATTGAATTAGAGGTGTAGAGCGTGATTGACGTCCAGCACCAATGCCTTCCAGCCATGGAAATGTGTGTGACTAACAAAAACCTCCTGAGAGTCATGCAGTGTCCCCCTCTTCCCCCACTCTGTCAATTGCTGTCTGCTAAAACCGATCACATTATAAATGCATTGCAACACACACAATAACTCAGTCGACTATGCTACGGTTTGCAATTAAATATAGAAGCATGATGCTTGTACTGTAAATAATCCATCTGCTTATAATGTTTTACTCCCAATGTGTGATGTTTAGGATTTAATGGTGCAATGGTCAGATTTCAGAAGCAACTAAAAGCTGATGCTTCAGACTCACACATTCATAAATAATATTCCACAGAAAGCTGATATCTACTTTTGGCCTGGCGCCTTTTTAAAACTACTTTGATAGTGAGTTGGCAACTTCATGAAAACAGCCCAAGCCGAGGAATGCAAGTTTGCAACAATCAATGGTTGCTTATTTTTCCTTTTGTCAATCCACCAAACTAACATGATGTAAACAAGATGAATAAACTACATTATGATTGAACAGTTTTGATCATTGCAAGGCAAAAGAACACATGCCTCCGATTTCGGACACAATCCTGAACCTGTCTGAACATTTAAAAAAAAAGGTAGGCTGCACCAAAAGTAACCCCAGTAACGTTTAGATGTTTATAATGAATTCAATTATTCTCGGAATAAAGCGACTTCTGTGGAGTTTGACAGTCAAACAGAAAGTCCTCCAGGAAGTCCTCTCAACGTTTAGCTCAGACCGGAGGGACGTCTGGAAGCACAGGTGACTTTGATGAACGCGCTCGCGACAAAATCAAGTCAAATGTAAAAGAAGCAAAGAAATCAACACAAAACGTAAAGAGAACTTCTGACAGCCCGGGTTTTAAAGGGACAAATGCAGGAGGGGGTTGTCGAAATGGAGGTGTGAGAAAGCAGCTTTCAGAAGCAGAAGTAGTTTGGTCTCACCTGAATCCGCCGCGGATCTTCTCCGCAGGTTCTCCACAGCAGCTGGCGTCAATGAAGACTTATTGTGGGACATTGTGTCTGTCCGAGTGTCGCTCCTGTGTCATCGGTGCGTCGAGGGTTCCCCCCCTTCTTTATGAAGTCTACTGTGCGGTCACTGCAGGTTCCTCACGGCGGAGGACCGACACCAGCAAACACGGAGAGGGGCGGGGTGAGGGATGGAGTAGCTGGAGATACCGCAACATTTTAAATCTGATTTAACCCCTGTGTCCATTCTTAAAGGCCTCCTCTCTTCCTCCATGTGTTTTCTTTCTATCTTCCTTTCTGTAGATACATTTGGATGTTTATTTTTTATTTTTAATCTTTGGATCCTACTGTGTGTAGGATTTGAAAATGAGCAACTTTAACACCCCCAGTGCCAGAATCAATGAAGTGTGACATTGCAGACAACAGCAAACTATGCACGTTCTTACTGCGTTGCATACTGTTATTGTTTTTGTAAAAATCAGAAGCAACATATAAAACGTTATTTTGTAGGAAAATATAAGGTTTTAGAAAGTAACATTAATATGTACCAATACAATTTGAACTTTTTGGTTCATGTTATACAAATTGAGTGAAAATATATGTCATGTAATCTTTGTTTGTGTTAAGAAAATGAGGGATAACCTGTAAAAAAACAGGACAAAAAAATGTTTAATCGTTCAGCGGACAGAAACATTAAGATGGAAGAAGATTTTTGAGGATCTGAAAACCATGCAATTTTTTTCATACAATCAGATGCTTAGCTCTGTGACTCAGGTGAAATAATAGCAATAAATGAGAGGCACAAACTGTGGCTAGTGAATTGTGTGACATAAGGCAAAACATCCACAGAGAGAAGTGAAGGGTTCCTTTTATTTACATATAAAAACAAAAAAAGTACAGCTGCACAAAGTGACAGTATAAGCTTATTTGTACACAGTTGGGAGACTAAACACAGAAAGCAACTCGAGGCCTGCGGGTAGGCCTAAATCAGTTTGACAGCTCACAAAAACAGAAGTTATTACTTTTCAGGGCATACAAAGTAAAACCATAATCTTCTTAATAATCGTTGAACATTAACATTTTGGGTGGATATCAGCTATTCTTTATTTTGTTACCCAACTCCTTATATTGTAGAATTCATAGCAGTGTGGTAACTACTTATAACATAAATAATTCTCTATCATACACATCTCACATGAATATCTAGACACTTGCATTAAACTACTTACCGTTGGCTAAGAATGACTTCAGCATCATTTATCCATATCGAGTGTAAAATGACAATACTAGGTGAAGTTTTGGTTACAGCACAAGTACAGTGACAACTTTTTATAGCATAGTTGACTCTTCCCTTTTTATTTATCATATCAGCAGAGTAATGAAGTGATTTGATATATAAATCTGTACAAATAATACCCTTGTTAAGAAATCTATGAACATCCTATATACACAACACACATTTAGAAAGATACTGTAAAATAGAAGCATTTACTTAAAAAGTGACCTCTGAGCCCACTGCTGTCTAAAATACGTCAAACACAAGAGTTTGAACTGGACTGAAGAAAGGAAAACGCACATATGAAGCCCAGTTTATATTGAATATGTACAACAGATTAACAGTAGAAATACTGCTGTAAAAAAAAACAACACTTTCAAGGAGAAAAGTTGTTCTGAAGTATCCAGGCCACAGCATTCACTTCAGTATTTCTTTTCCTCCAGGCCAAAAATAAGCTCATTGTAGGTTTATTGCACCAGGCAACCGAGCATAATGCAAATTGCACCTCACGTTAACTGTACATAAACATAGAGATTAATGGCTAAATAGTGGTGGGAAGAGAGAAATGGAGTCTTAGAAACACAATATAAGACCTGGGTTCAAAAGTATTTGCAAGTAGCCCGCAGCATTTTTAAACCTGTATGTTCTTCTGTACGAGTCCGGTTTTACAGCCCCGGGGCAGTAAAAATAATGATGACACAAGCTGTCATTCAAAGAATAACAATATAACTGACTTTTTCCACTGCGTTCATCTTCAAATATCCTTAGTGGTAATTCCAAAAAACAAGTTGACAGTGTCAAACTGAACTTCATCTGTGACACCGTGACTTTCCCGGCCACGTTTAGAGTTGGAGGTCTGGCTGGGCTGACACCTGCTGATGAATACATAGGGGGTTCTGTTTCAAGCCATATAAAGTTTAGCTGCCTTTTGTCTTGTCATCATGGAGTTGCCTTTGAAATTTGATTGGACACAAATAAAGTATAAAAAAATAGTCTTTCATTAACTTATTCACAACATATTTTTTCACTTTATCCCTTTGTTTTTTGACCAAAAAATAATATATAAAAACTTCCATCTGGACCGGTGGAATTAGATGCACTTTAATACGAATTTTTAAAGTATCCAGCACTTTTTGTAGCTTACTGTCTGTGTACCACAAAGCATATACATCGGAGCTGTGCTCCTAGAAGTCAGAGTCGGCATCCATAAGCTCCGCCTCCATTAAATTGGTCCGGGAGTGAATGGGTCCATAGCCGGACCTTCGTCCTGCCGGTACCCGAGCCACGTGGGCCATCCTCTCTGACAGCCCGTCGGTGAGATCCGTCTCCCCCGGGTAGCTGGAAGGTCCACTGGGCTGCCAGGTGGAGGCTGAGGGGAGGCATCGTGGCCCGAGACCCAGATCCTCTGGGCGGTTGTTGAAGGTCGGAGGGTGGTTGCGGCTGTAGCTGTACCGACTGCTCTGGTAAGATGGATAAGGGCACCTCTGCTCACGGGACTGGGAGTGAGAGGGTTGGATATCTGGGTAGGACCCTGGCAGGACTTCCTCCTCCATCTTCTGCTGTTGCCTCTGCTGCTCCCGCAGATTAGCGACCAGACTGGGGTGGCATGGCAACTTGGGCAAGCGAGGCACCGAGCTGCGACCAAACTCGCGCTGGCGATAAGCCTGGTTGTCCACCTCTTCCTCCGCTGGACGCACTTCCTTCTTCCTCTTCTTCTTCTTCTTTTTCCTCTTTATCATCTCTGGTGAGATCTCAGCCTCCACCATCCACAGCCTGTTCCTCTCCTCTGGAGGTGGTACTGTGAAGAAATAACAGAAAGAAAGTCGGTGTTCAACAGTTCTCGGATAAAAAAAAAGGGCAAAAGATGAAAAAAAGATGGCGGGAAAATAGGATTTGAAATGCTCAGCATATGTAAAGCAGGAGGTGTAATGGTCTCCAGCTCTCACCTGGTGTGCCAGTAGGAGTAACAGAGATGTCCTGAGGCAGGATGGCACCTCGTCTGGCCACCATCTTGGTCACATGCTGCGCCCAAGCTGATGACATGTCATTGGACGGCTCATTTAGTTCAAAATTTATTCCAGCTATGAAGGAGAGAACAAAAACCACAACCTTTCCATTTACAACAGGGACAACTGAGGACAGCTTTAAACCCAACATGCACTTAATGGCTCCCCCACGGTGCCTCTGTAGCTCTGAACCGCTCCAAGCTAAACAAGCGTGGCAGCCACAGCAGCCTCACAGCTTACACGAGCAGAGATGTGTCAGTCAGTTCTTAGCTACAGACATAACAGTTGTCCCTGACTGTGTAGCCTCGAAGCCACACAAAAGCCAACGGAAAATCTTCTCAGGCCAAATTCGAAAGAAAAACAATAAATAGTGGTTGTTTACATGAGCACATATGGTGCCACACCCGAATATATCTGCATGGCTACATACCTCGAGGGAAAAGTGAGAAACTATCTTTTTGTATTTTGGGGGAAGCAGCCATGTACTAAAAGAATAATATGCATACAATAACAATACTAACATGATGTATGATCTCCACTATAAATAATCCAGATTAGACACCTTGCAGTTTCAGTTATCTACCACAAGGTGGACGTATGCAAACATCACCAGACATGGTTTCAACCGTTTCAATCTTCATCCCAAGTAGAGGACAATGTAGCAAACCCTAATAAGTCAAAAGTGTTTTCTGTTCTCTGTATTAAAATGTACTGAAATCCTAAATGATCAGTTTAGAGTGAAATACTCACCCACTGGTCCTTCATGGGACACGGTGTGCATACTGAAGGACAGCTCCTTCTCTGGGTCCTTGTGAAGCTCCTTCCTCAACGCGAATGCCTTGGCGATCATCTTGCTCTTCTTGATCCTCTTGGGTTCATTGTCACTACGGCCAAGAATCCTGACACGAGAACAGAAGGCAGGTTCAGAAAGAGACACCGACACCGTCTGATGATTAGAAAGACCCGATCGAGGATCACACGTTGATTCCGGGCAAGATGCTGTTCTTTTGCGTCACTCTGGATGAGACGGTCTTAAACCCACACCGAAAACAATAATTCCAAGAAGCTGAATTACTGTTTTTTCTTCTTCTTCAAAGCCAGAAGGAAACTAATTCCTGTGAGTGAAATCCAAGTCACAGTGAGCCCTTGTGAGCGCTGTTACAAAACCAAGGATTAACACTGCACACCTAAACGCACACACTGGGGACATACTGCTAGATTGTGACTACATTTCTGCCTCCATACTTTTAAATACTCAGGGTGAATATCTACGGTTTTTAAACATGTTTGTCAGGGAAAGTCTGCTACATGTTTGGATGCATAGAGGTTAGACTTTTCCCACGCTGTTCTTTAAAACCATATATGGACGTGGCCAGGCATGTAGCCATGATAGTAATGAGAAGAGACTGCTGGAGAGATTGGAAAACGCAGAAACACAACAACGAACATTAAACACAATCGTCAGAATAAATATTTTTACAACTATAGCCTTTAGTCTTTATTGTTAATGCTACACTTCGCTTGATGTTTGCTTACTTGCACCAGGTCCGTTTCCAGATGAGGATGGTGGCCTTGGTCCAGACCCAGGTACTCATAGCAATACCCGTCCCAAACATGGAGAACAGGTTGATTTTCTCCACCATCAGGCTGGGCCGGTTCTTAATGGTGCATTCTGGGATTGGCTTGTTGGTCTGAGAGGCGATCGTCACGTTGGCTTCACACCTGTTCAAAACATCGCAGAGGGGAAAAGTCAACGCCTCGACCATGCTGCATGCGCCTCGCACAACTTCCATCCGTATGACTGAGGTACATTCAAACGCAGGATCTGGTAAATAAGAAAGTCTTTCACATGTCGGGGGCAGGAGAGAGCAGTTTACATTTTTGAGGCTAAATTAATTCCAACCCAGCCAGTGTCAACACTGTGAGGGAATAGGGCTACATTCACCGCTGCAGGCCGAGTGGTTACGCGGCGGTTTTTGAGACTCAACAGCATCAGTTTGTGGATTTCTGTGTGCAGAGTCTGCAGGTGTCCAGCAGACCTAAAGAAGAACGACAATAAAAAACGTACAGCACATATTCTCTGAAGCTCCTCTCCCATTCAGCCTGGTTGAAGAAGTCATAGAAGTGGCAGCCGAAGGTGATGAAAACAAAACCGAAAGCGAGGAATCCAAAAATACCTGGCAAGGAGAAAAAGAACAACAATTTAGATGTGAGGTACCAAACACTTCACTCCAAATATCATTCATGCAGTGAGGACATGGACCTTAACATATTTTGCACCTGGTGATGTTATTTCTGTTGATGATCAAAAATGTTCACGATTTGTGTTTAGTGTGCCCAATAACATGCTGCTACAGACTCCTACAACATTTCATTTCTTTAACACCCAGGTCTCAAAAGTGATTATTACCAGCATGATGTTTACTCTCATACTATTTCTCAGGTCGCCACTGTGGTGTGAAATGGCACCAGATGAGAGAACGTACCAAGTCTGAGCATCGTCTCGTTGATTTTGCTGGCAGCTTTCTCACTCAGTAGTCCTGGGTGGTTACTCTTAATGGAAAACAAAGTCATGACGCCTAAAAGGAGAAATAAACGGAATCAGTCAGTGTTGGTGGCTGCGGGGACGAATCTGAGGAGGCCTTCTGGATTGTAACAAAGCCTGAAGGATTTGGATAGAAGAGTTAAAACTGCTTTACCAAGGATGGTTACTGAGCTATTTTAACAGAACTCACCCCGAATGAGGAAGTAGCCGCCGACAACAAGCACCACTCCAATGGGGGCCAGCACAAACCCAGCACGGTATCTGTAGTTCTTATAGCCGACGAAACAGATCCCGCTCACGGAGTCTCCGTCCACCTGTGAGTAACGGAGCCACAACAGATGAGAAAAATGATCTTTTCTCGTGACTGTAAACCATTTTTCCTGTCTCGGAGAAGGGCTCCCTACTCACCTCAGCGATAGCCAGGATGGCCACGGTGAGGACGAAGGGGATGGACCAGGTGACCATGTGGAAGTAGGAGGTTCTGCCAGACAGCGGCTGCTGCGTGGTGCCCAGGGCTTTGAAGGACGTGTGCCAGGCGTAGGTCAGCATGACGAACCAAATCACGCCCGACATCAGGGAGTAGTACACGATGATGAAGATGGTGACGCATGACAGCGTCTCTGAAGACCTGTAGAGAACGGACAAAGATGTATTTGATTTTTAGGACTTACATTTCCTAGTCGCGAACGATCTCTGATGTCATAACTGAACGGTTGAAGACGTTCACGTACGACGGCTCCCCGAGTCGCATGGTGTTGTCGCTCTTGCACACAATCTCGTCGCGTGCTCCATCCAGGAACTGGGCCAGCCAGCCGATACTGCCCACGAAAAAACAGGCGTTGATGTAGAAGAGAATGACGGCTGGGTAGCGGTTGGAATTCCTCCAGTCGGCAAGAAACGTCGCCTGAAACAGAGGACATTTTGAAAGTCGGAAGAGGGCTAGTAGAGGAATATCTAAGGAACATCCTGAAAAGGCAACACACAGAATGTTGTAGTTATGTCTCACCAGGGTGAAGAAGGTGCAGAGGAGGGTGATGGTGCCAAAGTACGCGATGTAGGCGTGCATGTCATTGTGCTCCTCCTCGGTGAACAGCGGGTTGTCACACTGGATACCACAGCCCTCCACGTCCTTGTACCAGCTGGACTGAATGTCTGTCTTCACCAGGGGAGCTTCACACTGGCCCGACATGTTGAACTTCAGCTTCTGCACCTCATTCTGCACACAGAGGACACAAAGGTGAGCTTCTAATTCAACCCGCGTACCCTGACCCTTTGACCCGCTTGGGGATCAATAGTCTCACACACACACACACACACACACATTACACGACAATGAAAGCGTACCGAACAGCCCATGGGGAATTTGTCACACTTGAGGAAGCCGGGCCAGCCTCTCTCCTGGTCTACTATGCTACATGGCCGCCGTGTAGCCAAACACAGGCTCTGACTGGGCAGCTCGACCCGGCCGTTCTCACATTTGGGCATGTAGATGGCACAGAGCAGAGGCTGGATGACGGACCAACAGCGGGGAGCGTTCCGCAGACCTAGGACAGGAAAAAAAACATCTTAGAACATCATGGAACATTCAAGTTAGACAGGAGAGATGTTCGACAGGACGCAGGCTTGATTTATCAGACTGATGGTGGTGATGCTGGAGATGTGCACGTACTCATAAATAGTCAATCACCTAATCAGCAAAAATGCCGCTCAAAAAATGTCTCCATCCTCACTTGCACAGATGTGAGGATGGAACTGTCCTTTGTCACACATGGTAGATAATCAAATTTTTTTTAGTCAGACAAAATGAGCAATTTGAAGACATTTGGCTGTCATTTTGTCGACAAATTGATTCATCGAGAAAATAATCTGCAAATTATTTGATAAGGAAAATAATCAGTAGCTGCTGCCTTATTTTGAACAATCACAATTGTCACAAAGACAGAACGCAACAATGAATCAGTCTTAGTGAAGTGCGATGAAATGTTTGAAATGTGAATAAAATGCCTCTCTGAGGATTCCTCAGGAGAAGTGTGCATGACAAACATGTATCCACTGAAACATGAGCACAGTAAAGAGATGGCATATGAATGGATAATCTCTCTCTCTGTCCACCATCAGGCTATAAGGCTCCTCATCAGATGTGGGGAGCCCTTCACACCTCTGAAGCTGTGACCTGGGCCTGACAGATCATTAGTAAGTGCTGATGAATGTGAAGCAGAATATCTAAAAGCCTTTTATTAGTGAGAGTATCCTATTGTTGGCTCCCTAACACCTATGAGTGATTCCTTTTGTTGCCTTTAAGGGATTTTAACCCTTCATTTCCTGTTGAGGCTCTCTTACCACTTCCAGCCTCCATCCCAGCCCATTGTCAAACCAATTAACATTATTATCACATATAAACAATGCAAACAACACTGAATATAAATGTAAAGTGAAACTGATCCGTATATACTTATTTATTAAGCTGCTACAAATTGCAACCATGAACGCTACAGTTACAACAGTTTGTTTTTTATTGGATTACACAGGATGAGTACCACTCTTCTTCTACGATCTTAATTATAAAACGAGACGGATCATATTCAGCCAAGTTACTGGGCCAAATTAATTCTCACCGGACCACATGGTCAACTTCTCAAAAGCCTCATCCTGGGTGCTGGAGTCCTCCGCCAGGACCAGAGATGTATGCGTGTACGGTAGAGGCGATCCCAGACATGTGTTGTATTTAAGCGCCTCGCAAGTCGAGGTTTTCTTGCAGTTATCCTCAAACACAGTCCCGTTTGGAGACAACGCCGCCCCGGAGCCCGAGAGCCAGGCAGCCCAGACGCAAAGCATCCCGTAAAATCCAACAATGGGGCTCCAACCCTGGGAAGACATCTTGGGAGTAGTTGGTTCAACTGGGCAAAAAATAAAAAATAAAAAATCACTTTGAATTCTAGTGCTTTACTTGTGCTGTTTCCTCGAGAAACCCAAAGATGAAGCTTTCCTGGTTAGATTTCGAATAAGTTACCAAATTCGGCATGGTGAGGGGAATCTGCGGGGGCGCTTCGAAGTTTTCTCGCAGTCCTCCCAAACTTTTTTTATTCTGCGCTTCTCGTCCGATCCTCGCTGCGTCCTCTTGGATTCCTTCATTATCCAAATCCGAACAGCTCCACAAAAAAAACCAAAAAAAACCCCGTCCTCACTTCCAGAAAAAACGCATCGTTTGTTCAAAACAACGTAAAGTTTTCATTCGAAGCATTTAGGCTGGGCACGAAAAAAGACAGAAAGTTGCAGACTCGCCCTCCCCCCACCTCCAGAAAAAAACAAAAAACTTGCCATGAAAAAGTCTGGATGTCTGTAATAGGATCTCCAGTTCAGACGCACCACCCCCTTCTCCTCGGCCCCCCCTTTTTATGCTGGCAGAAAAACAAGGTGATACATTATCCTACATCTCTCTACGTGTGTGCGTAAAAGTGACTTTTCTCATGTGTCTGATGAGAAGTGTCTGAAGCGGTGTTGTGGTCCTCAGTGTGTGGATGTTTTTTTTTTTGTGTCTCTGGTATGCACATGGTGGGGGAGAGCTCGAGCAACAAAACCTCCCCTCCCATCCCCCTCTGCAAGTGGAAGAATGTGCCTTATGGCAGGCCTTCTCAACAAAGTCTCAAAGACCCCCAAAACATCACAGACCCCCCCCATCTGACAGTTTTACTGTCATATGAGAGTTTGTTTTTTTGTAGTTTGTGCTGAATCATAGGATCTTATACACAACATGTCACCAGTGGCAACTTCAAGGGAGTGAAGCTGAAATGTCTCACTTTTATGATTAAGAACCCTCAGGTGGTCCTCAAACTGTCGGAGAACTACTGATCTACCAAATCAATATAGAGGGGTCATAATACAGCAGTCAACAATAACAGGATGTTTAAAATGTAATTATGTGTGCTTCTGATGCTGTACATTTTCTTAATAAGAGGATAAACCGCTCTTCGTAGTCTATTAGGTGCTTTTCATCATCTCTGAGTAAGGTTAAAGATTCACATGCGTCAGCTGCTCAAGAGGAAGGCTTAGACGTAAGCACACAAAGAAGAATTAGAATGAAATAAATACAAATTAAAGACTAAGTGAAAGAGATGACATTACACAGCAATACACACTATATACAATACAATACCTGAGACTGTATGAATTAATTGAACTATTTATGTGAAAATAAATCAGAAAAACAAATACAATATTTTGAAAGAACACTGTGAGCCACACACCATACAGATATTAAATATGTGCACTGATGATGCCGACTTCACTTTTTAGTGAAACTACATTTTAGCTATCAAACAGAAGATGTTTTTTTAAACATGTATAAATGTCTTTTTTTGTGTCTGTTTGCCTTAAAAGGACAGTTCACCCCAAAATCAAAAAGATATATTTGTCCGGTTATCCAAAATAATGAGCAGTTTGAGTAACCGTCCTGATTTCTGAAGGATAGAGATATTGCTGTTTTTTTCAAATGTATTATTTTAGTGCTTTGAGCACCACAAGCCGAGTGCAATATTGTACCATTATATTGGAGAGAAGGCAGACATCTCTACGGCCAATATCTCCAAAACGATGCAACGTGTTTATATGGCAGTAGTGTGCATGTTGGTATCTGAGGGAGGGACGCAGTCTATAAGTCAAAGCTACATTGAGTCAGTTTCCTCTGGGACATTCATAATGACCCTGGGCTTAAGGTGGCTGCAAGAATATTCGAAAACTACAAGTGCTTAACGTAAAATATGAATGTACATAAAACACAATCTAAGTGACATGATTTTCTGCTGCTTGAAGTTTATTCTAATGTGCTTGAATAAGCCTGGTCACCACTAAATCTCAACCACAGTGCTGTTGTTATCGCATTAATTGGACAGTGCACTTGTGGTATTTGCATGGCTGTAGATGCTTTGTTTCTCTCCTGGTGTTCTGAGAGTAAAACTGGGTTAACTCTGGTTCCTCCTCTCTCTCTGTGTGTGTGTGTGTGTGTGTCTGGGCCTCCATGAAACCCACAGCAACATGGCCGCCTGAATGAGTCAGAGGCAAAAACCAGGGACCACACACAGAGCAGCGGAGCTCAGGCCAACACACTCTCACTCTATCTCTCTCTCACACACACACACACTCACTAACACCTGTGCCATTCCAAATTGTGCAGCATTGGATTGGTGATAAAGTACATTTTGTTTCGTGCTGGTGGGGGATTCACCCAGAGAGGGGAGTTACTGCAGCTTTAAACTAACACAGAAATGTCTTGTTTAGATTGCGGACTTGCGTCAAAGGCTGTTAAACATGCAGGTCTGTTTCTGCTCACAAAGATTACAGGCATCAGGTTTCAGGCTGAGAATGCCTCTCAACTCAGCTTTTCATTCGCCAGGCAGAAAAGAAACGGGTGGAGATGAGAGGTCGTGCTGGTTTGTCCTTCTTCACAGTTAAGTTAAACCTCTTTCCAGAACTTCTCTGGAACCAAGAAGGAAAATGTCAGCAGTTAAACGACAGCTCTTCATTTGAAAGAACCTAAACTTAAACTTATCACGTGATAAGAAAAGACGTAGAAAAACTGAAATTTAAAGCTGTGGATGGCCTTCAGACACAAAAAGCACTTAACATTTACGGCCACACTAAACATTTAAATACAGCTACAATTTACTTTGCTGTCAGAGCAACTGAAGCTTTAATTGGTCGTGTATCAAGACAACAGGAGAGGGTATTTTTCGTGTTTTGGTTCCAAGTACTTTTTTTTTTTTTTTTTTTTCCTTTCCACAGTCGGAGAACCTCAACCACTGTCTGCTCACTGATTGGTCACAAAATACAAACTTGGCCCGTTCTAGTGACCACATCAACAAAACAGCGCTAGAGCACCTCAGGCATTCACACTACTGTTTTCTTTAGTGGCAGAATTCCCCCACTCCTTTTGTATTTAAATTCAACATTATTACAACAGAAAAGCGGAAAAAAAGCAAGCGGTGAGAACAGGATAACATCGACAGCATATGTAAAAAATATGAACTTTGTTCAAAGCCTATGTGGTTTGGCAAACATGTACTTATAATGGCAGCATATTGGAACTAAGTACAGCAGCTCTGCAGCCATGCGGGCTGTCATCTGGCGACACGTGAGGAGGAAATGGCATCATGTGCAGTGTCAGGTCTAGGCAGGACAAAAAAGTAGCCTAACACGGCCATTTTGTTATGGAGAGTAAACATTATCTTTACAGGTAATAGTCAAATGAATCCTTAAAAAAAACATTATGTAAAAAGTTTATTATACTGTTAGAATATTCCTTTTTTATAAAAAAGGTAAATGGCATTTCTTGGGACCAGAAGTAAATACTTTTCAAACGCATATATAGGCTTGTGAAAGTTTAAAAATGACTTACCAACTAGCATATGTGCCTGCTTTATCCACCATGTATAAAATAGGCTGACATGCTTGTTTTAGGGTACGCATTGCTAATACAATAATAAAAACATCAACCAAATAGCAGATGCATCTCACAGACACTAGCAGCCATAAACAACATTGCTGAGCATGCATAGGACACCCGGTCTGAGATTCCTTTATTAAATAAAAAAATCAATATGTTAGAAAATGCATTTCCCTTTTTGGGTAGTAAATATTTGCCACATCATGGATTCAGTTTGAAACAATAAAAATCCATATGCGTTTACTCACTCTCCCGTTTGGTGTCTTTGACGAAAAAATGACTTGTAATAGATTACACTGATTGCAGTTCTTAAGTAAAGGTCAATATGACACTGACCACCAAATACGCTCCTAAAGTACTGTCTAAAGTTTGGTAAATTCAAGCATGGTCTATGTCCAGTAGGTGGCAACAGAGTCCTGTTTCTCCATGCGTTTCTTTTGACCTCCACAGTTCCATTTGAAAGCACATTAATTGTAATGTGTAACATGCCGGCTGAACACTAGTCTTGTGTTTTTGAGTCCAAGAGCAATGATACTGAATGCTCTGACACCGCTCATCAGAAACTGGTCTGATCCGGTCGGGGTCAGCTCCACGGGTCAGAGCTGTGCTTGAGGTTGTAGTTCTGGAGCTTGATCTGGTCTTTGATCTGGTTGATCAAAATCTGAGACAAGAGGATGCCAACCAGCTGCAGAAGAGAAAACACAAACAGAGGGCTCACTAGCTGGGCTTAAATTGTGTGTGTGTGTGTGTGTGTGCCGTGCACCACATCCTACCTGTGGTATGGCCAGTCCCAGGGCGATGCCCCCCAGTAGAAACAGGTTACTGTGGATCCAGTTCACCAGTTTGTCTATGCAGCCATTGGTGTAGATGTGGTCTCCAGCTTCAATGTACCCTAAATTCTGCATGCCCTGGCCACACATGGTGTTGATGACCTCCTGCTCATGTACACATACGGTTGAAAGACAAATGCGTAAAGAAAAACATTCACAAAATACATCCAACTCACATCAGGAGAGGCTTGTACAGAAGGTGACCTTGTCTTTGGACAGGATGCAACAGGAGAAGGGGACAGAGCAGCGCTCTCTGCTGGGGTTGACCAGGTTGCAGTTGAAGTACATGTTCTGGGACCAGTCGGTGTACGTCACACCACCACAGCAGCCAAACTGAAGACACAAACGAACGTTTTGAGATGCAAGACATTAGAAGACACGTTCGTTATCTGTGTACATACTGTTGACGATGGCAGTCTGTATTTGGACTAAATCCTCACCTCTTTCTGACCATAGTCAATGAGGTTTTGCAGATCAATGTCCTCTCTGTAGTGGACGACGGCGTTATTGATCATCTCCGTCACTCTATCCCGAGCCTTGGCAGAGTATGAAAAAAGTAAGAGTACGTACAAAAAGATACATAATGGGTGGTTATATGTCATATCATAAAATCGAAAGTTTCACGTCGGCCAAATAGATGCAACACTTTCTTTTGCTCCTATTTTCCACGAGTTGAAATAAAAGATGGGTCACAATTTCTTCTTTGCCAAGATAATCAGTCTACCTGACAGCTGTGGCCTATCAAGATGCAGGTGTGCCTTAGGCTGGTCACACTAAAATGCCACTATAAATCATAAACCATTTATTAGACATGCAGAACTTCGGCTTTCACACTAGGGCTACGGATATGGATTTTTTTTTTTTTCTGTGAGGAGAACACTTCTCCAAAGTGCCAGACGCTGTTGGAGGTGAGCACTTGCCCACTCAAGTTGGTTACGACGACAGACTGCGGGTCAGAGAGACCCTGCTGAGGACGACGAGCACACAGATGAGCTTCCATGAGATGGTTTCTGACAGTTTGCGCGGAAATTCCTCGGTTGTGCAAACCAACTGTTGCATCGGCTGTCGGGGGTGGCCTCAGACAAGCTTGCGAAACCAAAAGTGTTGCGTCTACATTTTTGTTCAGTGTAGAAGGAGTTTGACAAATATGATAACCCCAAGAAACCAACTTTTCTATGGCTGTAAAACATCAGAACCTTTTCTTAAAGTCCTCATTTCTAACAAACAGAATCCCATCAAGTAACCCAATCTGTGAGTGAACTCTGCTGTTCATTTCTTAAAGTTTTTTCAAATGTTGCAGCAATTCCTGGCAAAGCCCAGAAGAGGACAGTGTTTCACCAATCTACTCAATCAGAAAAGGGCAAATAAAGCAAAGTCTTGGCTCATCACAGATGAGATCCCATCTGTATGTTTATTTTTAACGTTTTAAATAAGGGAAAACGTGGAAAAACTTACATTTATACATAAATGATTGTGATAGAGAAACCCCTCCACATTATTTCATTACCTTATCAGAGAAGATGAAGCCCAGAATCCCAGCAGCCAGCTGGAGCAAGAAGATCACCGTCAGACAGATACAGAACTGCGAGGAGGAAAGAGAGAGGGATGTTTACAGCACTGCAAAATTAATCTGTTTTGGATTAATTCTTCAGATGACATGCAAACTCAGCTGTTACTTGTTACCTCCCGTACTTGGAGGAAAAACATGCAGAAAAATCAAGAATCCTAAGAGCAAGAACTTACGATAAGCTAGCTGTGAAATTGATTTCAAAATAAAATCTTTGTTTCAAATTCATGAGTAATTTTCTTTATGGAAGCACAAATACCATACAAACAGGCACCAACCCTAGTATTACTGAGCTAATATTAAAATGCTGTGGCGATGATCTTGCAGCTCAGGTTGACTGAACTTGAATCTGACACCATTACCTCCACAGCATGTCATACAGCATGCTCTCTCTCTCTCTCTCTCTCTCTCTCTCTCTCTCTCTCTCTCTCTC